TTCCTTTGTGCAGGACTTAGAGAACCAGATGCACATAGCAGAACAGCGGAGAAGAACCCTGTTGAAGGATTTCCATGATACCTAAGTTGGGACATGGACATGCCGGGATGAAATGTGGCTGCAAGGACTCCCGGCTGCCATACTGCATGCTGCAGGCTCTGCCTTTCACGACTCCAGGCAACAGCCAGGGCCCCACTCCTGAGACACTGGCAACACACCTTTTAGTTAATTTGTTTTCTTCTCATCTTTTTGCTTTTTGTTTCTACCAGGGTAGAGTTCATATTGAATTGGCTTCTTTTCAGGACTTTTAATTCACCCAGATGGTTGTTGGGAGGGAGGGAATGTTTTGTTTGCTTTGTTTTGTTTTGTTTATTTGTTTTTTGAACGGCTATTAATAGGATTAGATCATTACAACTTATGTAATTTTCAAAGATTGTACAATATTAAAAAAAAAAAGGCAAACCATAGGATAACACAGAGCCCTTTTAAAAAATAAATTGGCATTGGAGTGTTTTACCCTGTAGCTATTTTACTTGGAATGTAACATGTGCTGCCCACCTACCCTGCCTCAAAAATATCTGTACTTCAAGGGGCCCTGGAGTGGTCTCTGCTTTCCAGCTTCACATGTTTGGCCACAGCTAGAGTCCCAATGAAAGAACATGAGTGACAGATGGTAGGGAATTGAGTTGGCCTTTGTCACGGGCATGGAGCACAAGGAGTCACATCATGCCTCCTGCCTTAGTTGGACAGTAAGGAGATAGTACAGAATAGGTGGTCTTCTGTGGGTTCATCTTTATTCTTGAAAGTGAGGTTTACCTGGGTCTGGCATTTGAAGCCAGAACCCACAGCAGAACATAGGTGGGCTTGTGGCCACCCAGACTAGGGGACGCTGTTTTAGCCCCATGCTTCCTTTGGTCTCCTATAGAGAATCATTTCAAAAGGGAGTTGTTCCTTAAAATAAATTTGCTTTACCTTGGTCTCTCCTTTTGTGCCAGTATTCAAGTGGTGTAACTCTGACCAGGGTCACATGCAGCCATACCTGACATTGACCTGCTGCACTCTCCTTACAAACATCAGGGTCAGAGTTCAACATGGCCCACCTCAAGGGCATTGGCCTTCCTGGCTCAGGGGCTCAGTTTGTGCAAGTTGTTTTCATATTACTTGGAGTGTGCCCAGCAGCTACTCTGGTGGCAGAATATGTTTCCCTTTGCCTGGTTCCAGCTGTCAGAAGACCCCACCTCTAGGGTCTGGGAGTATAAGGCCAGGAGAATCCTTGGTTTATGGTCCCAGTTTTTGTACTGGGAGGAAAGGCTGGCCAGAGGATAGGAACAACTTTCACATACTTGAGTGCAAGGGAGTAAGCAGTTTGCCTTGTATCCTGCCTTTCTTGAACCTGGTCCTGTGGGCCTTTGAAAAGTTAGATCTGTGATCTCTGGGGTTTCTGAGGCTTTGTTCAACGCCTCCACTCTGAGACTGGCAGAGCTATCTATACTTGACAGGGCCTCCTTCACCTCCTAGGAGAGCCTATAGGAAAATCTGTGAATATTATAGTGGGAGTTCTTCAGTGTCCATACATTTTCACCTCCAGTCAGCAGTTTTCTAGGTACTGAGTAAGCTGTAAACAGAGTCATTCTTGAAGACAGAGGACAGCTGTGACTTTTAAGGTACATGGCTGACTGCAGGTTCACTTTCTTCCCTCAAGTTTTATCTCTTCATATAGTCCCCAACAAGGGAGGGGATTTGGGAGAACAGGTTAGGAATGTAGCAAATGATCCCAGAAAGGGACAACAGGGAGCTAATTGTGAACAGAAGGTACCTTCTACAGGACCATGGGTGGGATGTGAATTCTGCATTGGCATATGAAATATCTTGGTGTCTGGAGCCTTTACCTCTTTGTCAAGTCCTTCCTGTAGCACTGCCAGGGCACAGAACAGAGTTGTAGCTCTGCATCTTTGTCATACCCTGGCTGGGTATTCTCTGGACTTCATGGCTGCCACATTCTTTACTTACATCCAGTTGTGTGACCCTGACCACTAGAGCTACAGGGGGTTCTATGTCCAGAATAACCTCTAGCACTTGACCTGTGGAGAGCTTCCTTTTGTGCCCCCAGTGGCTATCCTTTATTAACATTACTAGGAAGATGGGAGATGTCAGGCAGAATTCCTCCGCCCCCCTGCCAAGGGTAGAAGAGAGGCACAGTGTTTTCATGAATTTATCATATATCTTGTTTTTCTTCAAAGAAAAAGTTAATTGAAGCAATGTCATCTGCTCAAAGTTGAGTGGTTTATTCAAAATAAATTTAAGTTTCTGATTATAAAAATGTGTGTAGAGTCTTTCTTCAAAGGATACAGATAGATTCCCGAGTCCCAGATTCTGGCCAGTGAATACCAGATGAGGGTACTCCTGTTTGCCCTCTCCCCACTTGGGTGCTGTGAAGGCCCTACTGGTCAGATTTTTTCCCCTTTCTGGCTGTATGGAAAAAGGGTATCTGTAAGGTGGTCTCTGCGGAAGGAAGTAGAATATGCTGGAAGTTTTGACTCTCGTCTCTCTGGGTGTAGGCTGAATCATTCCCTACATCCCCAAGATGTGGTAGGGTAAATACAAATGTGCCAAACCCCTTTATTCAGACCTCTGTGTTCCTCCAAAGCAGATGTAGGAAGGTATGGCAGTGGACAGTGTGGCCTCTGGAGCCCTGAGGGTTATGAAGAGACAACTTAGGACATAAACAAGGATTTAGGTCCTAATCCCAAGGGTGAAGGACAGGAAACAGGGTTTGGGTTCTAATTGACAGATCCATATTTGTGTTGTCAGGAATGCCAGCAACTTTAGTGGTAGGAAGCTCTGTGATAAAGTCATCTTCAGAACTGGTAGCATGCCAGCAGAGACCTCACACTGCCCATCTAAATTCAATGAGAAAGTATGGCATCTGAGCCTCAGCTGTTCATAGGCTCTATTTTGGGCACAGGCCATCAATCAAAAAACCAGACTAGTGCCTATACCCCAAGACAAATCATGCTAATGTTGACTGAGCACATACTCATGTCCTCATGGCAACCCTGTGCAATAGGTGCTGTCAGGGTCTACATTATATAACTGTTTAAAAAGAAAATACAGGTATGGCACACACCTGTAGTTTCAGCTGCTTGGGAGGCTGAGGCAGGAACATGATGATTACAACAGGAGTTTGAGACCAGCCTGGGCAATATAGAATCCATCTAAAAAAAAGAGAGAAATAATTTGCCCAAGGCTGAAGTTCAACTTTTCTAATACAAATTAGAACATAGCTCTGCACAATTCTCAAATTTGGCAATATGTGTGTATCGGCTGTTGAGGTAAGACTGCCCTAGCATCAAAAGGGTCAGAGGGTTTAAAATGTCAAAAGTCAATTTTATGGTGATCTAACTGATTTTAGAAGGCGAGAGAGATCCCTACATTGGTACCAGGAAATTATGAGATCCTTGGTAAAATTGTGGTTCTATTGGTTGACATTGGTTCTCAATTACACATTGGTTACATTGGTTAATTACATTGGTTCTCAATTTTGGAAACTGAATTATTTCTATTGTAACTATACTTAGAAACAGATTTCTGACCTAACTAGGATTAATTAAAGACAGGCTGCAGAAAATTTGAACAATCCTGAATTGGTAAATAGAATTTTTTGTATATTGGACTCACAAATATTGATCAGTGATTATATTTCCTTTACAATTCATTTTAGGGGAAAGGGACTAGGCCCTTTACTTCCTCTGCATAAGGAGGTCCAGACCTAGCTAATTCCCCCCAGAGCTGTGGGTTCCCATTCCCTCTGATGTGAGATGCTGGACTGCTTTCTGGTGGTAGTGTTTGGTTAGCATCCCAACTTTGGCTCACCCAACTTTGGCTCACAACAGCTATTGCTGTTGTTTCCCCTCTGTGCAGAAAAAGTCCAGAACCTCTCCTTTTGTGGAGTCAGATAAATAAAGAGGGGTGGCTAGATTAGGGCACTGATGAAGCCTGTCATTGTAGAATCTTGGGGATAAGGAAGTGGTCCTGCCCTGAGAAGACCAGAAAATTCAGTGTTAATGTGTTGTTCTTGAAAGCATGGGTGGTTAGAGTGTGTGCATATCCTAAGGATAACCCAAACCTAGAAAAGCAGCACAAAAATATCTTGGCACTGGGCCACTGTATGTCCTTCCACTCCCATTTTTTTATGATAATCTGAGGTGATGGTGTCTCAATAGTGGAACAGTTCCTTCCTCCCTCTTACTATGTGCCAGTTCTGAGACAAAGTGTTCCTTACATGGAGCACCTCCCGCATTCCTGGGTGTTACTGTGGTGGTGGTGACCCCCCAGAGCTGACCTTCCTGATGCCAGGGCTCCTCCAGGAATCCTCTGACCTCCCCAGAATCTTCTGACCTTCTCCCCCTTCCCCCGCGCGCACACACACTCACGCAACTTCTTCCTAAGGCCTCATTCCTGCAGGACTCCCTAGAAAATGTAGACCCACTGCGGTATGGACCTACAAGAAGGTCGTGGGACCTGCTACATCATCACGTGCTCAGTCATCGGCCTCCGCAGTATTGAGTCATCTCCTGGTGCTGTCTCCTCCATGCGGCTACTCCCTTCCCCAACCCCCACTCCTGGGAGCAAGATAATTGCAGATCCTATACTTTTTTGGGTGGGAGGAGGGAAGGGGGGGTCTTAACCAAGGACAGATAAATTACCAGATGGATTTGCCTTAATGGTGCGGCTCCTGTCTAGATCTACATTTGGTGAATGGTCTGCTCCGGGGAGTGTTTAGCTCCTGGAAAAGAAAACCCAGTGTGGGCTGGGGTTCAAGGTGCAGAGAGGCCGAGCACTATGTGCGACAGTGGCAGGTGCTTGTCCCCAGGAACGGTCTCCTGCTGACAGCAGTGTGCGCGGACTCTTGAGGCTGTTGTCCCAGAGACTGCGCAGCGCAGGCACCCTGTGGCCCCTCCCCTGGACGCGCGCGCGCGCGCGCGCGCGCACGAGACCTAGGCGCCATGGCGGCGGCGGCTGCAGCTACAGACCTGTGTCCGGAGGCCGCAGTAGCGGATGAAGCTGCAAATCCGCATTGGGTGTCGCCGGAGCACAGCTTGGCTGGGGCAACAACCCGGCCAGGCGATGACCAAGATGCACCGGTGCGGCCGCTGTGCAAGCCCCGCGGCATATGCTCACGCGCCTACTTCTTGGTGCTGATGGTGTTCGTGCACCTGTACCTAGGCAACGTGCTGGCTCTACTGCTCTTCGTTCACTACAGCAACGGCGATGAGAGCACGGATCCCGGACCCCAACGCCGCGCCCAAAGCCCCCGGCCCAAGTCAACTTTGGGCCCCCTCACTCGCCTCGAGGGCATCAAGGTGAGGACAACCAGCCCCCACGCCGCGGTCCAGGCCCTGTCCCCCACACTGACCCACAAGCACTGGCCAGCTGTTGAGCCCGTTTTGAGTAGTGTGACCTGGCACCGGCACCTCATCTATCCGCTGTGCGCCTTTCCTTTAGGTGGGGTACGAGCGTAAGGTCCAGCTGGTTACCGACAGGGATCACTTCATCCGAACTCTCAGCCTGAAGCCGCTGCTCTTTGGTAAGTCCACCAAATGCTCCCGGGAAGGGCCAGGGGCTGCTGTGGTTACCTCAAGGCTCTTTCTGACCACATGCTTTCTATTTTGAAAACGGCTCCTTCAAAGTAGCCCTTTCTTTATCCATCTAGATGATTACCAATATGAAGTACCCACTCCCTTCTCCATGATAGGGTAATAGAATGGCCTTTTCATTCCCCCTCTCAGATCCATTATTCCCTGCAGCAGATTTTTTTCATCACATGGCCAGGCAATGTGACCCTGAAGCTAGCATCCAATTTCAATTCCAATTTCATTGAAATTGTCTTTAGACATTCCATGCCACAACTAATTCTGTCATCTTTTAGAATGGGGGGGAAAGTGGGGGTCCAATAACCAATTCCCAGCTGATCTCAGGGCCTGTGGGATCTTGTGAAGAGAAGCAGGCTATTCAAATGTGGATAAACTGATGTCCCCAAGTATGCCAACTAGGACACCAGTCAGAGGCACATTTTTTGCTGCCAGCATTCTAGGAATCTTCTTAGTGTTCTTTTTAGTCATCATGGGCAGAACCTTTCAGGGTGATCCCATTCATAGCCGTATCATAGTTCATGTTTTCTGAGTATGTATATATACATATATACGCTGTAGATGGACACAATACCTTTATTTTATTTATTTTTCTGTGGTGGTGAGGATTGAACCCAGTGTCTCATTCATGTGAGGCAAGTGCTCTACCACTGAGCCACAACCCCAGCCTGTCTGAGTTCTTATTACATGATAGGCTTCATGTGATTGTTTCATTTAATTCTCACAAACCCCCTTTGAGGTGGATGTAGATGCTACCCACAGGCAAGAAGGTGAGAAAATGAGGCAGAGTTCCTTGGCTAAGCTCACATAGTAGTTCAGTGGTCACATTAGGATTAGAACCCAGGCAGCCTGCCTCTAGAACTTGCTCATAGAAGCCACAGTGCTAACTGGGAAGATCCAGAAGCCTTCCAAAGATTATCAGAGTCAACAAGGTAAGGGTCCCCAGACCTATGGAATTTGTCAAAGATAAATTTGTACAGCCCTGTCCTGGGTACCTGGCCTCAGTGACATATATAGGTAGACCCAGGACAGGCCCTGGCTGCAAGGGAATGAAATTAATAAGGAGTATTAAGAAGGGGGCTGAGGCAGAGCACCTAAACATATGCTATTGTCCCTGTGCAGAGGGCTCTGACTGGGGATTATGACTAGACCTGTAAGTATGTCACATGCATCCTATTCATGGGGAATTAGGTTATGCTGTCAGTTCTGTTGTGAGAAGGGCCCTAAAAGATGATGGCTTTTGTTATCAATATTACTACTGAATGACATTGAATCCTATACCAGGCACTATTTTAAGTGCAAGGGAACACAATATGGAACAAAAAATGAAGGGAACCATAACAAAACAAAATCCTGAAGCTGACATTCAGATGGAAACAGATAAACAAACAAATACATCAGGTGGTGATATATGATTGCAGACCAGTAAGGCAGAATTTCACCTGGGGTTGGAGCTCTTAATAGGGTAGCCAGGATGGGCCTCCTTGAGAAAAATATTTGAGCAAAGCCCTATAGGAAGTACAGGATCAAGTAAAAAGTGATCCTGTCAGGGAAAGGTGATCTAGGCAAAGGGTACAGCATTTGCCTTATTAGTACCATACTGCCCTGGGTTGGAGATGTAAACTCAGTGGTAGAGTACTTACTAGCATGCATGAGGACCTGAGTTCAATTACCAGTACTGCTGTGAACAGATATACTCAGTGATTTTGTTTTCTTTCATGAGCCTTCCTGGAACCTGTATATATCTAATTCAAATCCACATTAGGTTAAGTGAGCCATGAAGCCAAAATCCTTCTAACATGCAGCTTGTCCTATAAAGCAGAGAATGAGAAAGCCACTTCTGAAGTCCCCCAAAATAAATTACAAGAAGCAGAAGAGATGTGATAACAGGTAAACTATTCTGGTTAGGCTATCAGATGGGCCCCTGTTTCTGCAATTACAAAGGGCACAGCCAAGAGATTTGGACAGCTGTGGCATGGACTTCTTGTTTGTAGTCCTCATTTTCTCCAAAACATTTACATTGCCTGCTAGTCAGTTGGGGGAAGATCCCAGGTTTCATCCTGAAAGCCCTGGAACATGCTGCTTGGTGAAATGAGTTAGGTGAATGAAAAAGAGATCAGGGGTTATGAAAAGTCCAGTTGTGAGGGAGGGAAACCACAGGGGAGAGTGTCCAAGGTCAGGCATTTCCAGAATGCTTTGGTGTTGGATGAATCCAAAGGATGCCTTATCCTAAGAAGAAGCAGTGTCTGTTTTCTGTATTTGTATGTCCATCAGTTCATCATTGGTCTGGAGTTTACTGTTATCCTAAAAAGGCAGGCAGAGCCCAAGGAGAGTGTAGGCTGTGCTCCCTCTGCCCTGCTGTTCCTGGCTCCAAATCTGTGACATGCCAGCCTCAGAGACTCAAGGTGCCAGGGCCTGGGATGGGTACCTAAGATGTTAGTTGGGAGCCAGGGATTGTGGCACGCACCTGTAATCCTAGCTACTCAGAGAGACTGAGGCAGTAGGATTGCAAGTTCAAGGCCAACCTGGCAACTTGGTAAGACCCTGGCTCAGAATAAAAAGGGAAAGGACTTGGGATGTAGTTCAGTGGTAAATGCCCACTGAATTCAATCCCCAATACTGCGAAAAAATAATAATAATAAAAAATAAAAATAGGGCTGGGACTATAGGTCAGTGGCAGAGCGCTTGCCTAGTAGAGGTGAGGTACTGGGTTTGATCCTTAGCACCACGTAAAAATTAATAAAATAAAGGAAATTCTGTCCATCTACAACTACAAAAAAATAAAAACAAAGATTAAAAAAAAAAAAAAGATGTGAGTTCATTCTAGGGGGCTTAGGTTCCATCCCAAGGTGCCTACTTCTCTGTGGAAAAGAACCCAGCACTGCAGGAAACACTCCATGCAGCCTCTCATCTCTCCCTTTGGGGAACATTTCCTTTTCCCAACCTGTTCCTCGAGACACTTGGCAAGTGGGATCTGGACCAAAAGGCCCTACTCTGAGTTACACAAGGGTAGTAGGTATTTTTCAAAGATGTGGAACACTAGGAATCCATTTCTGAGTCATTGTGACCTCTTTGGGAACATTGCCTTCTTAAATGTGGCTTACATTCTCTCAAACACAGCTTCTTCATCCTTGTTCTGTCTTTAAGCAACAGATTAGATCTTTTCTCTTCCTATCTTAAAAATCTCCAAGATAACCCCCTTTCATCTCTCTCTCTCTCTCTCTCTCTCCCTCTCTCTCTCTCTCTCTCTCTCTCTCTCTCTCCCTCCCTCCCTCCCTCCCTCCCTCCCTCCCTTGCAGTGCTGGAAATTGAACCCAGATCCTTGAGCATACTAGGCAGTACTCTACCACTGAGCAATCCCATTTTACTCCTAGGTCTTACTTGGTGCCTCAAAGCCCTCTTATTTCTTAGACTTCATCTCCTGCCACTCTCCCTCCTTCCCTGAGGATTCTCAGAGACACCAAGTTCACTGCTGCCTCAGGGCCTTTATATGTGTGGTTAACTCACTATAAGGCTCTTCCCATAGATGGGGCTTTATCTCCATTTGCTCAGATGTCCCTTCCTCAGCGACCTCTCTTGTCTTCAAACCAGTCTTGAGAGGTTCCCAGGCATCCCGTTACATCGGCCTGTTTGATTTTCTTCTTAATGCTCAGCACTGCTAGAAACTGTTTTGTTCTCTCTGTCATTTGTGCCTCTACCCACAAAGATGAGCTGCATGAATGAAAGGCTTGATTTGTTCTGGCTATGTGTTTAGTAGTCAAGAATTCTGTCTTCTGCTGATAAATTTTGGGTGGTTTGGAGGGGTTGACTAGATGCTCAGGCCTGTCTGCTTGCTCAGAGTGTGCTCTGCCACCACCCTCCTGACTTGGTACCCTCTTCAAGGGCAGCAGTTAGCACCTCTAGTTAGCCAGTGAGAGTTTTAATCCATTTTTCTTAACTACTTAAGGTGAATGAGTAATCATCACTAGTATATAAAACAATTTATTTAAAAATCTTGACTGCTTTTTCATAGGATTTCCAAATATATTGTTTTTCAGCTTAAAATAATTAGGCAGCTATGTCAGATCACTATGCCCATGACAAACACTGAAGGCCCTGAAGTAAGGGAAAAAAATTTTTTTTTTTTTTTTTTTTGTACTGGGAATTGAACCCAGAGGTGCTCAACCACTGAGCTACATCCCCAGCCCTTTTTTATATTTTATTTAGAGGCAGGGTCTTGCCGAGTTGCTTAGGGCTTCACTATGTTGCTGAGGCTGGCTCTGAACTCATGATCCTCCTGCTTCAGCCTCTTGAGCTGCTGGGATTACAGGTGTGCACCACTGCGGCCAGCAAAAAAAGAATTTTTAATGTGCATATAATTTCAAATTTTTAAGCGTATTAATATAGTTTTCTCTGTGGACTGCCGCTTTCCCCTAGCCACATGCACACTCCTACTGTTTCACTGGCTGGCTGCTTGGCAGACTTAACAGAGCTCATGTGGATATAGTTGAGTGTGTCTGGGACTGGACTAGCACCATCCTGCCCAAAGTGAGCATAGCCCAAGGATGTGTGCCTGCTCTGAAATACGGCTTGTGGTGCTAGGGCTTGTGGACAGTAGCAGGGCAGTGTCTAGACTGTCTTCCCAGTATGCTCAGCATACTCCAAGGAACCTAGCTAGCCTGCATGCCTTCTGGGCTGGAGAGAGCTAAGAAAGCAGACCCACCCTGTTTGAGATTTGGGGCCTCTCTGTTCTCTGGTCTGCAAATCCCCTTGGCAGGGACAACAGAAAGAGGGTTCAATGTGTGTCCAGGAGAGCTTACATGAATAGTGTGACCAGTGCAGAGGCCATGGCTAAAAGTCCAAGGCTTTCTTTGGTATGGTTAGTCCCTGTTCTTGGCACTGGTAATAGTGACACCTATGAATTTGGTGGCTCTGGCTCCAGGCATAGGCTGTGGTTACCAACAGGTGGTTGCCCTGCATCCTCTCACTTAATATATAGGTCTGTGTGTGCCTTCCTCACAGGAGATTATACACACATGTGACATCCAGCTGCAGCCAGTGTCTCAGGGTAGGCACTAACTCTGTGGGGAGCAGTGGTCCCATCTTCAACACATCTAGTCTTGAATCCAGGTCACGGTCCCAGGGGCCAGAGGATGTCCTGTTACATCAGAAGAGCCTGACCTTCACTGCTGAATGGAATCAGAGGGGCCAAATGATCAGCTGGACTTCCAAGAGTGCCCCCACCCATCCCCTGGCTACTGAACTCTTGTCTGATGCTCTCCCTTTAGAATCAGTCTCCTAGGGATGCCACCCTCCTTAGCAGAATTTTTGTTTTATTTTGTTTTTAGCAACATCCCATGCTTATAAAGGAATTAAGTTTTCAGCTCTAATCAGGCATATTTGGATATTTTCTTTTTTTTTTAAATTTTTTATTGTGGGTTGTTCTGGATATTTTCTTAATATTTGCCTTAGTACTGAGCCAGGTAAACATTGTATAAAGGATACTGTCCACTCAGGGCTTATATTACAAAGTCACGATGCAGAGTGTGTCCAGGACCTCCTGGGGTAAGCTTATATTCTGCAACTCACAGTCTCTGCAGCTGGCATGTGACACTGGGAGGAGAGACTCAAGTGAGAAGGCAGGCAAGAGGTGTGTGTGCTGGGGGGGGGGGGGCGGCAATCGACGAAATCCCTCCTGTCTGCCCCTCCTGTTTTACTCTCTTTGAGACAGATTGCCTGCTCTAGGGGTCCTCTTCCCTTTCCCCGACCAGTTTACCTGATCCCCTCCTAGAATGACACAGTAGACAGGGGGTGAAGACCTGTGGGGAAGTCACACAGAGAGTCATCGGACATGGCTGAGATACAGAGATCATGGCCCACAGGGAAGCATCCACGGTTCAAGATAGCTGGCCAGGGGTAACCACAGCCAGCCGTGATGGGTGAGCAGCCGGCCTCCATTTCCTCACACAGGCTGCAGCACAGGTAGATGACCCTGCAGGGTGGAGAAAACAATTGGTGTGACTAGGCTGGTAACTGGGCACCCAGATCAACCTGGAACTTTCCATGGTTGCTTGGCAACGGCACTCTGATCACCTAGCAACAGCCCTGCAGCCTTGCTTTTCTACTTGTGCCACATTTCAGCCCTCAGCTCTGCCTCCCTGCTTATCTGCCTATAACCTAGCTTCTTTCCAGCTTTTGAAACTCCCTCTCCAGCTCCAAGGTTATCTAGTATCAGGTGAGGGATGTGGGAGGCCCTGCTCTCTGGCCTTCACCCCTCATGTCAGAGGGAAAAAGCAGGGCCTCCCTTTTGTCCTAAAAGACCTTCAGGGCACTGCAGTCTCTGGACAGGGCTGGTGCTGGCACAGAGTGCAGGGGGCCCACCCTCCAGTTCTCAAAGAATCCATTCTTGTTGGTACTGACAGTCACCAGAGATTCCAGGAAGGACTTCCTCTGCTGGGTGGGGGAGCTGAAGTAATGGTCACAGGAAGGTTAGGCTGGGGAAGAAGAATTAGCCTTATCACCTCGGGGCTTTAGGAGAAAATGTCACCAGATGGATCTCAGCTCCATCTCTTGCCAGCATCCTGTGGGCAGATTAGAGCTTCCACATTTCCCTGCAAAGGGGCTCACAGACCCCAGCCTGAAGCATCCTGCCACTTGTCCCTGTCTTGACATTGAAGAGCCTTTTATAGGTTGTGGGTATAGACTGAGGGACCAGCCCCACATGCCCACCATTGATGATACCCTGCCCAGTGATGGTCACCTCTGTCCCCTGGGTACCTGTTTCCTTCTACTGGGAACACTCATAAAAATAATTATTCATTTTCCTCCTTGCCCCTGTGAATAACCAGCAGTGACAGGTGCTCAGAGGATTAGTGAAGAGCTCAACTGCCAGAGCAGGCCCTGGCTAAGGACATCCTCCCCTCTATCTGCCCCTGCTCTACCTGTCAAGGCACACAGGGGCAAAGAGGGAGCAAAAGGAAGAGGCCAACATCAGGGTGGGCACTCCTGGGCAAGCAGGGGCAACCTGCTGACTGTCTGTTTGATGGCCTCAGCTGCTGTGTCATGGTCCAGCAAGTTGGTCAACTGCCTCTCTGTGTAGCCAATGTCATAACATAGTTTCATTGCTTGGGGAATGAGCATGCTCCGTGTGTAGCTCCAGGGAGCCCCAGCTGCACCATCATTCCACAGTACCACCAGCAGCTACAGTCCTCTCTCCATCACCTGCCTTCTCTATCCTGGCCTCACTGAACTGAGGTCCAGGGCTTTATAGGGCTGTACCTCCAAGGAACCAACAGAGGAGGAGGTCCTGCAGGTGTTTGCAAAGCTCCCAGGTACCTGCACCCACCTGATTAGGCCACAACATACTGACTGGGCTGGCTGTTTTTGATTAGCACATGATGAAGGGAATAGAGACTGAAATCATCTCCACTAGGCCTGTGGATTTACTGGCACCTAATAAACTGAAGAAAACTCAGCCTGTGTTTTCTTTTCCTTTTTGGCTAGCTTTTCTTTCTTTTTCAATGTTATATGTTAAGCAATCAAGAGGTGACAATTAGCAGTTTGGTCTAACCCATTGTCCAGCAGTGCTGTCTCCCAATGGCTGACTCATACCTTTTCTGGGTTTGATGGTTTGAGAGTTATGCATGCCAGGGGTGGGGGGGTGGCCTTTGTTCTATCCTTAATGTTATCACATCTGGGATCATGTCACCTACCCCTGGGATTTGAGCATAGATTCTGAGAGAGCAGCCTGGGTGGCCCTGGGCAAGTCTGTGCTTGTGATTTCTCACAGATTGAAAGGGTCAGTTAATGGGGCCTGGCTTTCAAAGATGAATATAGGGAACTAAGGAGTTGATGTATACAAAGTGCTTCAAGAGACAGTGCTACCTGAGTGTGATCTGCTATGATCACTATTAAAAATCACTACCATCTTGGCTCTGAGAGACCTTTACCTTACCCTGGGCAATGACTGGAACTTCATGCTGGGAGTATGACTGAGAGAAGTGACAGACCACCCTGTAGATGGCAGTTTGGCCCCTCCTCTAATCTGTTCTTTTGTGAACCTCTTTTTCCCCAAGGAAGTTCTCCTCCTAGGAAAAGGAGAAGGAAGCAGGACCTAGGCTTCTGACCTGAAAGTACCTGGGCTATTAGGTTGGGAACTTCCCAGATATAAGGCTTATATTGCAGTTCTACCAAGCCACCTACAAACTGTGGCCAGTGTGTGGACAGCCAGCCACTCCTAGGTCTCAAGCATGACTTACTCACGAGCTTAGAGGCACAGAGTAGGTGCTGAGTTACCCCCCCCCCCCCCCCACACACACACACACTCACTTCCCAGCACTAGGCAACTCAGCCCTGGTCAGATGACCAGAACCTACTTATACGGGAGAAGAGGGGAGAAGAGAGGACAACCCTTGGACGAACCTACACTATTGGATGTCTGGGCTTTGTTTGTTTTTATTTGAATAATGCTTGAAAGCAAGAGCCAGCCAGCATTTCTCTGCTTTAAATATATATACCTGATGTAAATTGGGCATGGTGGCTCACACCTGTAATCCCAGCAACTCTAGAGGATAAGGAAGGAGGATCACAAGTTGGAGGCCAGCCTAGCTAGGCAATTTAGCAAGATCCTGTCTTAAAATAAAAAATAAGCCAGGTGCAATGGCTCATGCCTGTAATCCTAGCAGCTCGGGAGGCTAAGGCAGGAGGATCCAGAGTTCAAAGCCAGCCTCAGCAAAAGCAAGGCACTGAGTAACTCAGTGAGACCCCATTTCTTAATAAAATACAAACAGGGCTGGGGATGTCGCTCAGTGGGTGAGTGCCCTTGAGTTAAATCCCTGCCCACCTCAATAAATAAATAAATAAGAAAGGGTATAGGGATATAGCTCAGTGGTAAAATACCCCTGGGTTCAATCCCCAGTAAATATTCCCAGTAAGAAGAAGAGGTTAACCCTCTGCTCTTCAAGTCCACTCTCTGGCCTTTAGTTCCACTCCAAGGTGGGTCAGCCCATATCCATTTTAGCTATAGCCTGCTCCCAGTAACCCCCCTGGAAAATGTGTGCTGTCATCATCAACAAAAGAGGCCCTGCATTCCAATGCTGGCCAGCCTTTGCAGGACAACTCCACATTAACGTAAGAACGGATACAAAGGGGAGTGTGGACTCTTCCAAACATTGTGACCACCAGGGGACAGAGAGGACCCCTGAAACCCTGCGGGGAGGAGGATACTCAGTGCACAGTGCCCCAGCTCAGTCCTTGGCTTCACCCACCTCCTCTTATGGCAGAAATTCCTGGCTTCCTGAGTGACGAGGAGTGTCGGCTCATCATCCACCTGGCACAGATGAAGGGATTACAGCGCAGCCAGATCCTGCCCACTGAAGAATATGAAGAAGCAATGAGCAGTATGCAGGTCAGCCAGCTGGACCTCTTCCGGCTGCTGGACCAGAACCACGACGGTCGCCTGCAGCTCCGAGAGGTTGGGATCCTGGGGCCTGAGGAGGCACAGGGAGGGAGTTCCTAGAATTACCTTTCTGGTGGCCATGCCATTTGTCTGGCTCAACTGGCCCCATACTCAGATGCCAACTCAGGCCTTCTTGGGCATGCCCAGTCCCAGGGTCACTCTTTCCTCTCTATAGAGTCCCTACTACCCTGGAAACCCCAGAGGATTGCAGGAGGATCCACATGGGGGTGATGGCATCTATCACCACAGTTTGGAATGGTATTTCTTTTGTGGTCTGGATTCCTTGCTGCCATGGCTAGAAACCCATTATGGTGGATGGGGTTGGCAGCTCTGATGTAGCCAGCAGCCTGCATCTCTCTTCACGTGCCTCTCACACCTGGGCTTCTGAGAGAAATCCAGCAGGGTGTGTGTTGGGGGGTGGGGTATTGGTCCATTGCTCACACAGAGCACTCCACTGAGTCTGGTCTTCCTGAGGGTTCTGGTGGTGGTCATATCCTGGACAAGTCTCCCCCTGTTGCCTCTTCCCTCTTTATAACCAGACCTTTGACTCTCCCTTCCTCCACATTACCTGAGGTATCTGAGTGTGATACAAGGCCAACAGTGCTCCCCTGAAGGCCAGAGTCCCAGCAGGGCTGGGTATGCCAATGGTCCTCATGCCTCTTGACCCTTTTCCTGGCTCCCTCAGATATCTCTGGACCTCTCTTCAGCCCAGAGACCTTGGGCTCTGTCCTGAGTCCTCACCCATGCCCTATTACTGCAACCCTTAACTCCATAAGAACTGGTCCTTTTATGCTCTGATGGCTCTTTACCCCTAGGGTCACCCCACTGAGGGACCCTCTTATACCTCAGGTACTGGCCCAGACTCGCCTGGGAAATGGACGGTGGATGACTCCAGAGAATATTCAGGAGATGTACTCCGCGATCAAAGCAGATCCCGATGGTGATGGTGAGCTCACATCCCTCCACAGTTCTGTCCCTGTGAGCCACCTCCTTTCCCCAGACTATGACAGTCTAAAGGGCAGCTCCTGGAGATCATTTTGACCTTATCAGGCAAAGTTTATAGAGTCTGGGGCACAGGAAACAGGACTCCTGGTTGGGAAATGGCAAAGTGAGTAAAGTGGAAGCAAGGAGACATGAGGGCAGCTTGAGTTTTTCCATTCACCCTGCTCCATCTGCCTTTTCAGGCCTCCCTCATCTCACTGAGGCCTCTCTCCCTTCCTTTTGCCCACCTGGAGTTTTAATGGAGCACTGAAGTGGTAGTGTTACTAATTTTGCTAACTGCAAGGAGCATGGGGCAGCAACCAAGAGGTTTCTGAGGTGTAGTCTTAACCCTTATGCCCAAGTTATGGACCAGCTGAGGAAGAGATAGAGCAGTCAAATAGGTCCTGGAAGAACAATCTTGTGACTGGTGAACAAAAGGTCTTGGAAGAATAGCCTGTGGCTATTCCTAGTATAGAAATGGTGTCAGATTCACAATGTTTGGATGTTCCCCATCCTCAGGGGAATCTAAGCCAAAGGGTGGAAATTATCTCCCTTGGGTCAGCTAGAATAACCTGGAGCAAAGACACCAGATCCAGAACCCCAAGAATGTGGGGCCTCTGCTTTCTGATTTGGGCAAGAACAGGGAGAATGTTCTCATTTGGAGGACATGGCCTGGCTTTCTTTGCTAAAGTGGGCTGGTAGTTCAGCAGGCAAGACTGGCTAGGTTGGTTCCACCCAGGATGGGACCTGAGTTCATGGGGGTTTCCCTGGGGACTTGCCCTGCTTGCACCCTACCATGTGGGAGGCCCTGGGTGGACTCAGCACTTTGCTGCGCTCTTCACCTTCTACAGGTTGGAGTATGGCCACCACACTCTATATGGCCAGGCTGGAAGGCGTAGGGTGACTCATGGGCTGAGGTCCTAGCCATATGGCTCAAGTTCCTTTGGAGACCCCACTCTGGCACTCTAATGGGTGTTGAGATTCTTCCTTTTGGGAGCCAAATCAAGGCTTAAACTGAGAAAATGAACTTCTCTGGGTCTTCCCTTAGGGCCCGATGTGACAGAAACCAGGTTCATCTGACCCAAGAGTCCAGGTGGGGACAAGTGCACATGGCCCCCAGTGCCTGAGGCCAGGGGCTGCTGCTGCCTTTGGGGTAGGTAGGGAGGTGCTGCCTGCCACTGTGGTCCCCCCTCATGGGCCTGTCAGGCACTAATGGTGGGTGCCCTGTACAGGAGTGCTGAGTCTGCAGGAGTTTTCTAACATGGACCTTCGGGACTTCCACAAGTACATGAGGAGCCACAAGGCGGAGTCCAGTGAGCTGGTGCGGAACAGCCACCACACATGGCTCTACCAGGGTGAGGGTGCCCACCATGTCATGCGTGCCATCCGCCAGAGGTGAGCACTGAGGCCATTTTCCCTGGGGCAGAGTCTCCATATAAGTCCTTGGAGGGGGCTAAGAGGACAGAATTGATTAGCCAATGGGGATTAAGTGCCACTTGTTAGACCAAGAATGGGACCCACTGAAAGGCAATTAGCAAAGGCAACTTATCCCCAGTGTGGGAAAACAATGTACATATGGGATTAGAAATAAATCAAGTTTTTGTTTTCTGCTAATTAGAAAAACGACCCCTTATCTTTGCTCATAGTAGCCCTGCCCCTGAACCAGAAGGAGTTTTAGATAAACAACCTCCTTCTTGAGAGGACTTCAATTCTCCCCAACCCCCCAATTTTGTGAAAATCTCATCTTTCCCAAATAGTGGGTGGCATTTAGGAAAAAGGGTTCATCAAGAGTAGCTCCTTCCTGCTCCTGTAAAGCCAATCTTAGATGACTCTTTGAGCTGAGCGTGGTAGCACACACCTCTAATCTGAATGATTCAGGAGACAGAGGTAGGAGGATCACAAGTTCAAGGCCAGCCTCTGCCTCTTAAGGAGACCCTCAGCAACTTGGCAAGACCCTGTCTCAAGAAATAAAAAGGACTGAGGATGTAACTCAGTGGTAAAATGCCCCTGGTTCAATTCCCAGTAGAAAAAAAAAAAACATGGCTCTAGGGCTTCCATGGGAGGTGGGCAAGGGTAGAGCTCGTGGCAGGTCTTGGCTAGCTCCTTTAGGTTACCACCTTACATGGTGCTGCCCAGCCAAATACCTGCTACTCACCAGGGTGCTGCGCCTCACTCGCCTGTCACCTGAGATCGTGGAGCTCAGCGAGCCACTGCAAGTTGTGCGGTATGGTGAGGGAGGCCACTACCATGCCCATGTGGACAGTGGGCCTGTGTATCCAGAGACTATCTGCTCCCATACCAAGCTGGTGGCCAACGAGTCGGTACCCTTTGAGACCTCCTGTCGGCAAGTACCTCCCACCTGGGGACTGGCTTCAATTCCCAAATCAGGCATCCTCATAACACTGGCACAGCCTGACGCTATGGACCTGACTCTTAGAATGGAGTCAGGAAGGCACTTGGCCATCCTGGTCAATGATGCTCTTAATCTCTTCCCAAAGTTGTTTACCAAATGGCAGAAAAAGCTGGCTACTGGCCATTTTGTCCACTTGAGTCAATGTAGACTAAAGTATCCAGAGACACCAAAACTTGCTCCCAAAACTTTGAAGCAAGGGACAATGCTGGGCACTCAGCTCTTTCAATCTACTCCCCCAGTTATCGATCTTGACTCCACTGCTTGGAGGTCTTGGTCTCTCTCTAAAGCTGTGTCCCTGCCCCTGCCAAGGCACAAAGTTAGGTCTCTCCTTTTCATGTGGCTTTCTGGCTCAGCCTTTTATAGTCCCCACAAAGACCTTGTGCATGATCTTCCTGCTTCTAATAGCTAACTTTCCCAGCCAGGCCCTTAGTCATGTAACTCAGCTATGCGTGATCTTGGCCAAAAAAGCATTGGCACACACAAAAAGAGACTGGGTTTGTGGAAAGAAGGAGGGGCTAGAGATACTCTGGCATTGGACTACCCTGTTGTCATCCATCCTAGCCTGTCCCTCTGACCCCTGGGAACCTGGGTAGCTTTTCCTACCCACGAGTAAGCCCTTGGGAATGTCTGTAGCTAGGGACCTGCTCAGAAGCCCCCCTGCCTTACAGCTACATGACAGTGCTGTTTTATTTGAACAACGTCACCGGTGGGGGCGAGACTGTCTTCCCTGTAGCAGACAACAGAACCTACGATGAAATGGTAAGGGTCGACTGGGCTATTCTTGTGGGCTGGCAGGGCCTTGGGCAAGTGTAGTACACACCCCTCCGGTCTTGGGATGAAGGCCTAAGTGGTCCCCTAGGCACATCTGGTTGTTTTTCCTCTAGCCATCTCTGGCTGCCTGGCCATACAATGGGGGCCAGCCTGAAAACACCATCACCTTGCTGCCCACAGAGTCTAATTCAGGATGATGTTGACCTCCGTGATACTCGGAGGCACTGTGACAAGGGGAACCTGCGTGTCAAACCCCGGCAGGGTACAGCAGTCTTCTGGTACAACTACCTGCCTGATGGGCAAGGTGAGGGCTTATGGCTAGACCAGGGGATTATCTGAGGGAAGCTTCCCCTTACCCTGCTCCTGTCTGCCACCCTGGAGAGCTGTTTCTGGCTGTCCTCCAAATGGTTTTCTGTCTTGATGTCTCCCAAAGATCATTGTCTAGTTTCAGTAGGCCTCTCCAGCATCTGTGCAGCCTGTTGGGTTATCTCAACCCCTGTCATTCCCTGATGCCTCACCCTTCCTTCTTTCTTCACTCTGGAGCTGGAGACATGTCTTTCACTAAACCAGGCTGGGAAGAGCTGTGGACAAGGCTCAGCAGCAAGAAAACTGGTTTCAGAGGGCCAGTGGTGTTTACTATAAATTAGTGGGGAAAGGGCCAAGGTATGCACAACTGGCCCTACCTTTGCCATGCTACTGGTCTTTAGCTCAGGTCAGCTCAGCCTAGGGTCCCTCCCAGCCTGTCCTTTCTCATGCAACGCTCCTTTTGTAGGTTGGGTGGGTGACGTGGACGATTACTCCCTGCATGGGGGCTGCTTGGTCACACGCGGCACCAAATGGATAGCCAACAACTGGATCAACGTGGACCCCAGCCGGGCACGGCAAGCCCTGTTCCAGCAGGAGATGGCGCGTCTGGCCCGCGAAGGTGGCGCCAACTCGCAACCTGAGTGGGCCCTGGACCGGGCCTACAGTGATGCACGCGTGGAACTCTGAGGGGAGGGTCAGTCCCAGCCCTCAGTTGCGTGTCTCACGCCACCCAAAGTCTCTGGTGCCCAGCTGGCCCCCATGTACTGCTTCAGACTCAAGTTCTGGCCAATGTCTTGTCCCACCCCTGCCTCCAGCCGCGATTACGGTGCAGAAAGTATATTATTGTTATTTATTGTGTACAGCTCCTATGCTGCTCAGTCAAATAAAATCACAGGGCTTCGAGTTGCCTGGCCAACAAGCTCCAAGTCGGTGTGGGGGGTTGGGGGAGACGCCACCCGCTACCCTGCAAGCGTCATGTGAGGGGGCGGGGTGAGGGTTCCCTCTGCGGGCTTCGCCAATCATCAGCTGGATTGTGCGGGGCGAAGGGTCTTCATTGGATGTCCGCAGCTGGGCGGCCCTGGCCTCTGCTACCTGTAGCTAAGTGCTCAGTTGATCCGCAACGCGGCGCGGTGGGAGAGCTCGTTCTCGCGAGAGTGCAGCTCCCTTCTTGGCGGTGACAGTCAAGGCTGCCAGAAGACCGTCATGGACGCCCTCGGTGACTACGTTTGGCCGCGGGCAACCTCCGAGCTAATACTTCTCCCAGTCACGGGACTGGAGTGCGTGGGGGACCGGCTGTTGGCGGGTGAGGTTTGGTTCGAGGCGCGCTAGCGGGCTAAGAAACTGAGAGCCTGCTTGGGCGGGGCCACAGGGACAAAGGGATGCCCGGAGGTGGACTGGTGGCCAGATGAGGCCGGCTGGAAGATTGGAACTGAGACCATTAGATGGCGGGAACGAGGGCCAACTAAGGAGGGCTGGGCCCTAGAGACCGAAAGTTGATGTGGTTGTTACATCCCCACGTTGCAGCCAACGTGGAAAGAAAGGGTGGGCAGAGACGCGGGAAGGTGCAGAGAACGCAGTCGTTAGAAGTTGGGGGAATGGGGTGCATGTCTCGAAGAGCTGGGCGGATGTTTGGCCTCTCCTGAGAACGCCCTAGTAAATCGGTGGGTCAAGAATTTGGCGCGGGGGGGGGGGGGGGGTGGCAGGGGTGTGGCCTCTCGTGGGCTGGTGAGGCTCTTCTCCAGAAGGTAAAGGGTTGATGTAGGTCTTCTGAAGAGGGTGGGGTCGCGAAAGATTGCGCGTGAGACCTCTTAATGGAGCAGTGCCCAGAGAGACCAGAGATGAGTTCCCCACTAAGATGGTTGGGGTACCTGAAGACTGGTGGCGAAGCATATGCCTTGGTACATATCAGCAAAGGCTTGGGACCCGAGGTCTCAGTCTTAGGCTTGACATGAAACCGCTAGGGATTGAAGATGGTGCTCTGAGCTTTGTAAGGGTTCCTAGGCTGGGCACTGGCCATCAGGCCTCAGTGTGCTACCACCTAAAAGGGTCAAGTGTATGAATGTGCATGTGGCGGGGTGGGATAGTATAGGTTTTTTGGCTTTTAGTTACTGGAAATTCCCCACATGGCCCGTGCATGCTAGGCAAGGGCTCTACCACTGAGCCACATCCCCAGCCCAAAAGTTTTAAAGGGAAAACATAATTTATTGGTTTTTTCATTTTAAAGATCAGGGATAGTAGGTCTTGGATGTAGCTCACTGATAGAATGCTTGCCTGCTATGCGCAAGGCTTTGGATTCTATCCCCAGGGAGGAAAAATGAAAGAAAAGAAAAAAGTCAGGGGTAGTTACTGGCATAACTGACTCCAGATTATTGAGTCAACAGGATTCTACATTTCCCAGATCTTGGCTTCTGGCTCCATTCTCATCAGGCAACATTAAGGGTTTTAAGCAGGAGAAGGACTTGGGAAATAAAGGTTAGGAAGCACTTCAAGTGAATTCACCTATTCATATGGGTTATCTGTTTATTTTGAAGTCTGGGGATTGAACCTAAGGATGCTCTATGAGCTACATCCAGCCATTTTTATTTTTTATTTTGAGACAGGATCTTGCTAAGTTTTCCAGACTAGTCTCAAACTTGTGATATTCTTGCCTCAGTTGCCAGAGTAGCTGGGACTATAGACATGTGCCACTGTGTCTTGTTTAAAGGGCAGTTGCCTGGGTGCCTCTTAGTCACGACATGACAAGCAGGATACCACTATACTTAGGAGGTTGACCCCAAGATACTTTCATAAGATTACAATTTTTTTTCCCTTTTGATACTGGGGATTAAACCCAGGGGTGCTTTACCACTGTGCCACATCCCCAACTCTTTGAGACAGGGTCTTGCTAAGTTGATTAGGGTCTCACCAAGTTGCTGATCTTGGCTATCCTCCTGCTTCATCTGTGTCACTGGTATTACAGGCATCTGCCACTGCGTCTGGCCTTTTTTTTTTTCTTTTAAGATGGGGTCTTGTGGGCTGGGGTTGTAGCTTAGTGGTAGAGGCACTGGATTCAATCCTCAGCACCACATAAAAATAAATAAAATAAATGTATTGTGTCCAACTACAACTAAAATATATATATTTAAAAGTATCAAAAAATAATAATAAAGGTATTGTGTCCATCTACAACTAAAAATAAATTTTAAAAAAAGAAGGGGTCTTGCTATGTTGACTAGGCAGGGCTGAAAGTCCTGGGCTTAAGTGATCATCCCAGTTCAGCCTCCCAAGTAGGTGGGATGACAGGCAGAGGGTTGCTAGGTTGCCATAATACTCTTCAACATCCCACACCTTCCTTCCTTCCTTTTTCAGTGTTATTGGGGATTGAACCCAGACCCATATGCTAAGTACATGCTGTATTATAGAACACATCCCAGTCCTTATCTACAGCTTAAATTCCATCCATGTACATCTATAATCTAAAGTTAGCCTTGTTCTCTCATGAAAGAATTCTAGGTCTAAATACACAAGTGCTTACAAATAGAAATATTCCTGCCACTTCCAGCAGTCCTCCAGCTGGGTGGTCCAGCTCTGCAGGAGAACACCAGCCACTTGGGTGCCCAAGACTGAACCACACTTTCCAAGCCAATCTAGATGACTTTTATTTCATGTGGTACCTGTCTATTTCTCTGCTTTTATGATCATCATGTTCATGACCCCCTCAGTTGCATCCTCTCTAGCCTTTTCTTGAGCCTTCATCTCCTGCCACGTTACCCAAAGCTCTTGCACACTTTAGGGCCTGTTGTATTCTCTGCCAATTTCTTCCTTCCTGTAGCTGACAGTTCTTTATCTTTGTTTTTTTTTAAAAATATTTATTTATTTATTTTTCGGTGGACACAACATCTTTGTTTGTATGTGGTGCTGAGGATCGAACCCGGGCCGCACGCATGCCAGGCGAGCACGCTACCACTTGAGCCACATCCCCAGCCCGAGTTCTTTATCTTTGAATCCTCACCCTAAATGTTGTAGCTTCATGTTGGCCTCCCATGACTTTCATCTAGTCTTTTAAGATTGAACAAGGTTTCTCAGTATTGCCACTATTGACATTTGAGATCAGATAATTTGTAGCATGTCTGGTCCTAGTTGCCTACAGCACAACCCCTAGTTATAACAAAAAATGTCTCTAGACATTGCTGAATGTCTCCTGGGGGAATCTTGCTGAGAATCACTGGATTACACACACACACACACACACACACACCCATGTGTATATCTCAAATATATAAAATGCAGGGGTTGAACCCAGGGCCTTTTGCATGTCTAAGCACATGCTCTACCACTGAATTACACCCTTAGTTCCTTATTTATTTATTTATTTATGCAGTACTAGGGATTAATGCCTCCCACATACTAGACAACTGCTGTACCACTGAGGAAAATCCCTAGCCCTTTTTTTTTTGAAAATTTTAAGACAGGGTGTTGCTCTTATAAGAAGAAAGAAAGAACACTCTGCATTCAATCCCCAATACCAAAAAAAAAAAAAAAAAAAAAAAGGAAGGGAAGGAAGAGAGAAACAAATTGAACACATTGCAACAGAAGCCAGAAGAGATTTTTGCTTTTTGTTTTGTTCCTAGTATGTGCCAAACCCTGTGTAGGCTTTTGATGACAATACAACTATGCCTTCTAAGGGCTCTTTGTGTGGCTGCTATGCCAGAGCTCTCTAAGCCTAAGTCTCCATACACAGAGGGGCCTTTCACAGCTGAGCAGTGGTAGGGCAAGAACTCAAGCCCACACTTCTGCCACCAAAGTGTGGGCTACTGCCTGGTATGGAAGTGTGCACCTCTAATCCCAGCAACTTGGGAGGCTGAGGCAGGAGTATTGCAAGTTTGAGGTCATCCTGGGTAACTTAGCAAGACCCTAAAAACAGGGTCGGGGTGTAGCTTAGTAAAATGTTTGCCTAACATGTGCAAGGCTCTGGGTTCAATCCCCAATACCACACACATACATACATATACACATATGAAATGTGTGGGCTGCCTCTGCTACTTCCCTTCATTGATACTGAATATGCTCATATATTCTGCAGTCCAGGGAATAGGTTGCTATGGCCCCAACACAGGAAAGTTTGCCTTACTGGGCATAGCCGTGCTCCTGATGGAAGGGGAATCAGGAAGAATGAATGTAGAAATAGAGGAAGCTGAGGATTCAGGAACTAAAACTGAGGGAGGGAGTTCCCATCTGAATGTGAGAGGGAGGGGGACTGTGAGTTTGAGGATTTCATGGTGATTAATGAGGAGAGCAGAAAGTTGCAATGCGAGAGAGCTAAAGATGAAACCAAGGATGTTTGAAGGTTCAAGCTAGAGGATTTTGTGACCTGATTCATTCATAGGCTACATGCTGAAGTCTCCTTGCCCCCATCTCCTCTCCATGGGTCATCAGAGTTAGGAGAGTGATTCTGATATGGCTCTTTGCCTCTGTCTAGGTGAGGGACCTGATGTCCTGGTGTACAGCTTGGACTTGGGCGGGCATCTGCGGATGATGAAGCGAGTGCAGAACCTGCTTGGCCACTACCTTATCCATGGTTTCCGAGTGCGGCCAGAGCCCAATGGAGATGATTCGGAGGCCATGGTAGCTGTGTTTGGGAGCAAGGGACTCCGAATTGTGAAAATTAGCTGGGGCCAGAGCCGCTTCCGGGAGCTCTGGCGCTCTGGCCTATGGAATATGTCCGACTGGATCTGGGATGTACGCTGGCTTGAGGGCAATGTCGCCTTGGCCCTGGGCCACAACTCAGTGGTGCTATATGACCCTGTGATAGGATGCATGCTACAGGATGTAACCTGCACAGACAGGTGTACCCTCTCCTCAGCATGCTTGATTGGAGACACCTGGAAGGAGTTGACCATTGTGGCAGGTGCTGTCTCCAATCAGCTTCTAGTCTGGTATCCAGCAGCTGCCTTAGTAGACAACAAGCCGGTGGCACCTGACCGACGAGTCAGTGGCCATGTGGGTGTCATCTTCAGCATGTCATACCTGGAAAGCAAGGGCTTGCTGGCAACAGCTTCAGAAGACCGAAGTGTCCGTATCTGGAAGGTGGGCGACCTGCGGGTACCTGGGGGGCGGGTGCAGAATATTGGACACTGCTTTGGGCACAGTGCCCGTGTGTGGCAAGTCAAGCTCCTAGAGAATTACCTTATCAGTGCAGGAGAGGACTGTGTCTGCTTGGTGTGGAGCCATGAAGGTGAAATCCTCCAAGCCTTTAGGGGCCACCAGGGCCGTGGGATCCGGGCCATCGCTGCTCATGAAAGGCAGGCATGGGTGATCACTGGGGGTGATGACTCAGGCATTCGGCTATGGCACCTGGTAGGGCGTGGCTACCCAGGCTTGGGGGTCTCAGCTCTCTGTTTCAAGTCTCCTAGCCGGCCAGGTACCCTCAAAGCCGTGACACTGGCTGGATCTTGGCGACTACTGGCAGTGACTGATACAGGAGCCCTTTATCTCTATGACCTTGAGGTCAAGTGTTGGGAGCAGCTGCTAGAAGACAAGCACTTCCAGTCTTACTGTCTGCTGGAGGCAGCTCCTGGTCCTGAGGGCTTCGGACTGTGTGCCATGGCCAATGGTGAGGGTTGTGTCAAGGTTGTCCCCATCAACACTCCAGCTGCTGCTGTAGACCAAGCCCTGTTCCATGGGAAGGTTCATAGCCTGAGCTGGGCCCTGCGTGGCTATGAGGAGCTCCTATTGCTGGCATCAGGCCCTGGTGGGGTTGTGGCTTGCTTGGAAATCTCCGCTGCACCCTCTGGCAAGGCCATCTTTGTCAAGGAGCGTTGCCAGTATCTCCTGCCCCCAAGCAAGCAGAGATGGCACACATGCAGTGCCTTCCTGCCTCCAGGTGACTTTTTGGTATGTGGTGACCGTCGCGGCTCTGTGCTGCTATTCCCATCCAGACCAGGTCTGCTTAAGGACTCTGGGGTTAGAAGCAAGGCTATTGCTGAGGGACCTATAGCAGGAAGTGGCAGTGGGAATGCTGTGGCCGGGTGGGGCCCTGTATCTACCCTCCATTCTCTGCATGGGAAGCAGGGTGTGACCTCAGTCACCTGCCATGGTGGCTATGTGTACACCACAGGGCGTGATGGCACCTACTACCAGCTCTTTGTGCAAGGTGGCCAGCTTCAGCCAGTTCTGCGCCAGAAGTCCTGTCGAGGCATGAACTGGGTGGCTGGGCTTCGCATGGTGCCTGATGGGAGCATGGTCATCCTGGGCTTCCATGCCAATGAATTTGTGGTGTGGAGCCCCCGGTCACATGAGAAGCTGCACATCATCAACTGTGGTGGAGGGCACCGCTCCTGGGCCTTCTCAGATACTGAAGCAGCCATGGCCTTTGCCTACCTTAAGGATGGAGACGTCATGCTATACCGGGCTTTAGGTGGCTGCACCCGGCCACATGTAATTCTTCGGGAAGGTCTACATGGTCGTGAGATCACTTGTGTAAAGCGCGTGGGCACCATCACCCTGGGGCCTGAATTTGAGGTACCCAGCCTTGAGCAGCCTGATTACCTAGAGCCTGGTAGTGAGGGCCCTGGTCTGACAGATATTGTGATTACGTGCAGTGAAGACACTACTGTCTGTGTCCTGGCACTCCCCACAGCCACAGGTTCAGCCCATGCACTCACAGCTATATGTAACCATATCTCCTCGGTGCGTGCTGTTGCGGTGTGGGGCACTGGCACCCCAGGTGGTCCTCAGGATCCTCGACCAGGTCTGACAGCTCATGTAGTGTCAGCAGGGGGTCGAGCTGAGATGCACTGCTTCAGCATCATGGTCACTCCTGACCCCAGCACCCCAAGCCGCCTTGCCTGCCACGTTATGCACCTTTCATCTCACCGGCTGGATGAGTACTGGGACCGGCAGCGCAATCGGCATCGGATGGTCAAGGTGGATCCTGAGACCCGGTAATGTGCACTTTCAGGCAGGGGAATAGGGTGGAAATATGAAGGGCAAGTCCTGGGTGGTGTCCCCAGGCTTTCAGACTCCATCTGACAGCTATATTTTCTCTACTGTAGGTACATGTCCCTTGCTGTTTGTGAACTTGACCGGGCTGGACTTGGCCCCATTGTGGCTGCAGCCTGTAGTGATGGGGCAGTGAGGTGAGAGCATGGGGTCCAGTAGGTGGGGTGATAGGGTATAAGGTTGTCTGACATAGCTTCTGAGCTGGGCCACCTCCTGGCCCCCAGGCTCTTTCTTTTGCAGGACTCTGGGCGAATTCTACAGCTCCTTGCTGAAACTTTCCACCATAAGCGGTGTGTCCTCAAAGTCTACTCATTTACCCATGAGGCACCCAACCAGCGGCGGTAAGGGGCTGAATGACAGTCCTGCATGGGTTAGGTGGGGAGTTCCTGCTTCTCTCTCCATTCCTCACTGACCTGGCTGCCCTTTCCTGGCTCCTAGGAGGCTGCTTCTTTGCAGTGCAGCTACTGATGGCAGCCTAGCCTTCTGGGATCTCACCACGGTGTTGGACCGTGGTTCCATGGTCCTGGAACCTGCAGGACACCCTGGGCTTCCTTACCGTGAGTAGTTAATGTGTGGCCATGACTGTCCCTTCCCACTTCTCACTTTGCCCTTACATACAAGGCAGGCAGGGCCCTGAAATCCAACCTTTTATTTCAGAGCTGGGTACTCCCTGCCTGACCCTCCAGGCTCATAGCTGTGGTGTTAACAGTCTGCACACCTTACCAACATGTGAGGGCCACCATCTTGTGGCCAGTGGCAGTGAGGATGGCTCCTTGCATCTCTTCAAGCTTGCTGTGGAGATACCAGAGCTGGAAGATGCTGTGGGGGAGGCTGAGCTGGTGCCCCAGCTGCGTGTGCTTGAAGAATACTCTGTCCCCTGTGCACATGCCGCCCATGTGACAGGCCTCAAGATCCTAAGCACAAGCCTCATGGTCTCAGCCTCTATTGACCAACGGCTAACTTTCTGGCGTCTGGGGCATGGTGAGCCCATTTTCATGAACAGCACTGTATACCATGTGCCAGATGTGGCTGATATGGATTGCTGGCCTGTGAGCCCCGAATTTGGCCATCGCTGTGCTCTTGGGGGCCAGGGGCTTGAGGTTTACAACTGGTATGACTGAGGTGTCCCACAGTGGCTGGTGTGCTGGGCAAGGGGTCTCCTCACAGATAGTGGAGCAGGAGTCAACTGTCTGTGCTCATGTCCAGTGTGCCTTGAGGAGGGGAGAAGGTGGAGGCTGTGGGTTCCTGACTCCACAGCAGGAGCTAGAGGTGAGTAGAGTACTGCCTAGGTGGACCAAGAATATGCCCCACTCCCCATAGTAGACATAACCTTGTAACAGAAGCAATTTATTTTGGCTTTAAGCTCCCGAAGTCTGTGGAGTTTGTAAAATTATCAACTGGAAGAAAAATGCCAAACATTCCCAAATACTTGGCCCTCTGTGGCTTTAGATGTGGTTCAATGGAGGGATGCCCAGCATAGCCAGGCCAGTATGGAGTATCTCACGCACGGCTTTCAGAAGCTGCAAGCGGGCAAACATCTGACCAAAGAGGTGTGGCCGAGGCTCCTGGAGGAGAAGGGACCTGCTGGTCTCATTTTTTGCTTCCCTTGCCTTCACTCTGAACTCCTCTGCCCTTCCCACATATTCCCTTTTGCTGTGTACTCACCCCTAGGACATGTATCCGGTTATAGTATGAGCTGAAATCCATGCTGAGCTGTATCAGGAATCTGCATACCTAGAGACAGAGATAGTTACTGGCCCATGTCTTTTTGTGCCCCATCTTAGAATAAAGAATAGAGTGTGACATGTCTGGTCTGGTCTTCTGTGCCTCACCATCTCTGTGTGAGCAGTGACACGGAGCCCCGGGGATACACAGGTCAGGACTGCAGTCTGACTCAACAGATCCGAGAAGGGAAGGACACTGTTGAAGAGCAGCAACCACTCGCCCTGTGGGGTACAAGGGTGCTGGGAGGCAAAGTCCAAGGGTACTGCTTGTGTCAGATACTCAAGAAGGGCACTCACCTCATCTTGTAGCAGCGAGAAGTCCAGACTGCTCACAGGTGGGAAAGTAGGGTACAGACCTTGTTCCATACAGCGTTTGTAACCCTCAAAGAGTGTGGCAAGACGGGCACAATTATACATGACAAAGGTGCCACTCTTTGTGCCCTTTGTGGAGATGTTACTGTCAGTCAGGGCCAGATGGAGCTAGAGAATGAAGACACAATTTCAGAGAGAGTAGACATCAAGCCTTAGTCCTATGAGGTGTCCAGACTCACCTGACTCTGTGGGGCTGTGCTTAGCATCTCAAACTTGATGGCAGCCACAGACAGAACCCCAAAGATCTCTATCCAGGCTGGGTCTGGGGGAATATAAGTTAGTATTTCAGTCTCTGCAAATGGAACGGGTACAAATGACCTGGCCTTACTCCAGGGCACAGCTAGGGTTTCTCAGGTGCACCTTGTGCCAGACTACCACCGTGCTTCAGAGCTGAGGCCTTGCACACCTGGGTATGTCGGGACCTGCATGTTGAAAGAAGAGAGCCAATAGGCACAATCCTAATAAAAATTTCTACCTCCCAATCTCAATCTCCCTGCCTTGGGTTGGCCTTCCTTCCAGCTTCACTTACTCATAGTATTCAGGGGCAGTCATCAAAGTTCCAGGTGCACCAGCTACTTTTACTGGGCCACAGACCAGGTGCTTCTGTAGAAGACATCAGGGGTTCAGCCCAATTGGCACTGCATTCCAGCCATTAGTCCATTAAGGAACCCAAATCTGGTGCCTCTACTCCATCCTCCCTCCAACCTGTATTCACCAAGCATAGTGCCTCCCTTTCAAGCCCAGTTCCTCAAGACATGGTGCAATTTATCTTTTTATTCAATATTCCTAGGATATGCCTTCAGATTTTACCTTCTCCAGGGCTTCTGCAACTGTTGCATATGCCTGTTCATTTAGTCTCCTGCAAGCTCAAGCTCAAGTCTCAGTTTCTTGATCTACCAGCTAATGAGCCTCTTTCAGTTTGGGGGAGTCTATTATCACTAACCTACCTGTCTGAGTGGAGCCTGGTCATCCAACTTCCACCAAAGTAGGTCCAACTTTTGTTGTTGGAACTCCTCCTCACAGCTCACCACATGTACAACTATGCAGCTGTCTACACCAGCATCTGGAGCCACCCTCTTATAAAGAAAAACGACAGTTACTGCAAAAATGCAGGATATTTGGTTTGCCAGAGGCTTATGGAACTGGAAGTTACTAACCAGGCTTTGGTGGTTGTCTTCTGGCCAATGCTGCACAGCTTCCTGCAGCTCAGCCAGCACAGAGAGCAGGTCCTCGGTCACTGCAAACAGAACAATAAAACAGGTACTGAGACTGACAGAGATACTTCCTCCTTTCTGATTCTGCTAGGCTCCAGGTCCTACCAAGACAGTTGTCCACACTGGGGTCATAGCCAGCCCTGTGGCCCTGTTCTTCCACCAGATCCTTCAGGCATATTTTTCCCAAGACGCCAGGGGGCAGTGTCTCCCCATCATGCAGAGAGGTTAGCTCTGCTAGCACACGGCTCTTCAGGGTTTCAGTAGACGCTCTTGCCGAGGCAGTGGGCCAGTCCACCCTCAGTTTCTGCAGGAAAGTTGGCATGTGCGGGTCCCGCACAGCGGGCACTAGGTGCACACACATCCTGCAAAGCGAGGGTGGTCACCTCAGCCTGGGCACCGAGTCCCAGGTGCCCACTCTCCGAGGCTATCCCCAAAGATACCGCCTTTCTCCATTCTAACCTCAAGTCTGCACTTACCCTTGAGTACGCAGAGTTCGCGCCAGGTGATCCGCCACAAGTACTGCACGCAGCTGGCTCAGGCGGAGTGCGTCAGGGCTGCAACGCAAAGCCGGGCAGTGTAGGACTACTCGCGGTCCCGGCGAGGCAGGTCTGGTGGGCGTGGCATAGGAGGCATCTGAGCCGAGGACACGCTGAAAGACTGCAGGTCGCTGCAACTGGAGCGCCAAACCCGCTGGTGTCGGCGCGCAGCGCAGCACCGGGGCCACACCGGGACCCTGCAGGCTAGCGACCGCATGGAACACATGCTCCGGCACCTACGAGCAGACAGGCGTGTGAGCAGGCCGCAACTTCCCTGAAACCCTCGACCTTACATCTCCGCCGGGCTCCCGCACACCTGCTCGTCCCCGAAGCGCGCCCGTAGAGCTTGTCGCGGTGCCAGGAAGTCTCGGACACGCAGGTGCCGGGCACGGGTCTCCTTAAACCACACCGGACCCCCAGGTCCTAAGGCAGCGTTAAGGGCCCCCAGCGTCTCCCCGACCCCAAGTCGCCCAGTCGCCATGGCGACCGGAAGTAAAATATTCGGAGGTGGAACTTCCGGGTGAGCCCCGAACCGCTCCGGGAGGATCTGGTGGAGGTCTGGTTAAGTGGACAGGTGAGCTCTCAAGTGAGCCGAGTCAGCCGCATTCGACCTACCTACCCAGTGTTCCCTCCGTGTGGCCCTCCTGCACTTCTGGGCCCCGAGAGTGCCTAGGGTTCTTTATTGCTGCTCTGCATTAGCAATCAGTAAAAGAATTCTTGTGAGGGGAGGGGGCGCAGACAAGAAATCTTGTCATCAGTCTCAAATGTGTGTTCCTGTTCATTTTAAATAATCTTTCATTTCCCCCATTTTAAACGTTATGAAAATGTCAGAAGTACCAAACGAGTTGTCATTGGAATGCGGCTGTAACGTAAAACACTTTCACGACCTACTTTTAAAAACCTTATTTTTAAAAGAACTGTGTTCTATGGTTTCAGGTTATTGGCAAGCCTTCTCTTGAGATTCAAGTAGTCTTTACTCCCAATAAATGCCCAATCTGATAGAATTGCCCGTTTCCTTCTCTTGACACCTGAGGAATTAGCACCATCATGGACCATGCTCGGATTCACACGCCTGTAATCCCAGCGGCTCGGGAGGCTGAGACAGGAAAATCAGGAGTTCAAAGCCAGCTAAGCAACTCAGTGAGACCTTGTCTCTAAATAAAATATGAAATAGGGCTGGGGATGTGGTTCAGTGGACAAGTGCCCCTGAATTCAATCCCCAGTATCCTCTCCACCAAAAAAAAAAAAAAAAGAACCTTCATGGTTTCCAGAATTACCAGTTCCTTTAACCTGGTGTACTTCACTAGCGACCCTTTAATACTTACAGTAAGCATTAAAAACAATACACAAATAAACAATGTGACCATGAGAAGACTCAACTAAACAGGTCATAGGAGTATCCTGCTTTTATACCAGCAGGAAAGCTCTTTTTCTGTATACCAAAAGGGTTCCAAATGTTTTCATTTTAATGTAACTTAAGCCTGTGCTGCCCTTCTAATAGCGATTGAACCTAACTCATGATCTCTGGAAGAGGGGAGGTGCCCAGAGGTTGGACAAAGAGGGAATTCTAAGGAGAGGGAAAGGTTAGCAAGGTCCCTTTCTGGGCTGGGGCTATGAGGCCCTGTTGGAAGGCTCCGAAAGAGCACTGGGCGGACACGACATTCCCGATGGCTTCTTGGGTGCCCACTCAACGGGAGTGATCGTGTCATTCCAAAGCACTTTCCATGCCACAGGCGAAAGACCTGGAGACAGCTGCTAGCAGGGGCCCACCGGCAAGCTGGGGACCTCAGCTACTCTCAGTCCAAGAAGACGGTTGGGGTGGTTTTTCCCCAGGAAGTGAAGGGCTATCTTTAGCAAGCCGTGGGCTGGGGCGGCCTGTGGGATTCACCGCCATTGCAGCCCTACCCTATGGACCCAGGTCCTCCCTCACCAAAGCTCTTATGGAGTTCCAGTGAAGGCCACCAGCCCAAGCATTCGATGTCTACGCTTGCCATCTGCAGCCTGAGGGAGCACCTGAGAGAGGGACGGAGACCAGAGTGGCCCAGTACAGTCAGGGTGCCTGGGGATCAGGGGCCACTCCATCTGGGCTAGGGCGCTGCTCAGGCAGAAGAGCAGGGAACGAAATCCAAGCGCAGCTGGAATGCTCTGGAGACAACAGCTGCTTTTGGGATTCCGTTGCCCGCTGTCCAGCCGTTGGAGGGGGGCTCCTGCCCCCAGGTCACTCGCACTGGGATCAGCTCAAAACCCACACCCATCCCCAGTCCCAGGGTGTGGACTAGGCAGAAGTAGGTGGTGTAATCGAGTCTAGTGAGAATGAGGCGCTCACCTGGGCCCCAGAACAATAGGAGGGAAGGTGGGCGCCTCCCCTGGGACCAGGTCCCGATCCGGATTAGATCCGCAGGGCAGGATTAGCCCTGTGGGTCCCACGCAGCTGGAGCCACTGGTGCGGTGACGGTGGTGGGGCGAGCTTCGGAATCTGCCAAGAGGAAAGCGCGCCCGTGGGGGCCGGAGAGGAAGTCAACGCGCGCGCCCACTTCGGGGACACCCCCGCGCTCGGGGGCCTTTGTCCGCTGACGCTGCCAGCGTCCAGACAGCCAGGGGCCGAATGGGCCCACACAGTAGTAACAGGACAACTGGAAGGCCATTGGGACTAGCCCTGGCAAATCCAACCCCAGGCCAGACTGCGCTGAGCCTCCAGCCCACCCGACCCCGAGGGTAGCAAACGCGACAATGTCTCGCTGAGGCCACCACAGAGCCAACGCGCGGAGATGTCCGAACCCCGCGCGGGCGTTCGTGAGTCTTGCGCCAGTAGGCCCTTTACTTGGCTGAGAACAGGGGGCAGGGAAACCCGGAACGCGCAAGCAGAGTGAAGGAGGACGGGATGATGTTCCGGGTGCTGTGTAGTTCACGTCTGGTCCGGTTCGGCCCAGTTAGTCCCACCTGAACAGCTACATTAGTCGTGCCGTGGCGTGCCCTTCCGCTGGCTCTGGCTGTCCTCAGGCTTGAAGCCATTTTAAGGCGAAACCACCTGGCCACGCCCCCTCGCGCTCCCGAGAAGCCAATCCACGCGCGGCCACGCCTTCTGCAGCGCGCGGCAGTGCAGCCAACGGTCGCGCGAATGACGGTTGGTGAGGGCCGTGATTCCGAAACTAGCTAGGGAAACCTTAGCCACCCGTCCCGCCCACGAAGCCCGACACCGAAAAGCCTGGGATTAGGTGCTTGGAGGCTGGCACCACACCCTGGCCAGGTGTGCAGCAGAGGACCAGGTGCTTGGTCGCTCCGCCCCTGGTCCCGGGAGCCCCGCAGAATGCCTGAGAGCCTCGGGGCCAGGCCGAGACTGCGACCCAGGCAATGCCCGGAGGACGGCGACGGGACCAGGTGTCCACTCCCTAGGGATGATGGGCGGAGAAACGGGGAGGGGCTGGCGGCAGGTGCCGTCACCCGAGCGGCGCCTGGAACGCGAGCTCTTGAGAGTTAAAATTGCCTGCTGGGCCGGCCTAATTGCGCAGTCCCCTCCCGGACGTATGGGGCGCTGTAGCTGCACTAGGTCAGGCTCCGCTACCTTCTCACTATTCCTGCGGAGGACTCGCTACGCTCAGAGCAGCCATGGCCACCGCTTTCTCGCTCCGTTACCTCTACAGAGCGCGACCAGTGCCGCGCTTCCTACATGTTGCGCTGCAGTGGTAAGTCCGGTCCCCCCGGCCCCGACCTTCTGCCTCCCAGCTCCAAGATCCGCACAGCCCCGGATATGCGCCCGACCTTGCCCCTTCCGCAGGTTTCCACAGCGTGGGCACCGACTGTCGCTAGCTGATGATGAATTGTATCAGCGGACTCACATTTCTCTGCTGCAACGCGAGTTCCCGCATGTCATGTACATTGATAGCTACAACAGCCGAGGCTTCACTATCAACGGAAATCGAGTGCTTGGTCCTTGTGCGCTGCTCCCGCACTCGGTGGTACAGTGGAATGTGAGCCCTTCCCCGCAGTGGGCAAACAGGCCAAATTACAGTCCTTCTCCCTGCTTGTGTCCCTGGCAAATTTGGCTTTTCCTTGTTATCCGGTAGTCAGAGTTTGGAGGGCGGCGGCTAGAAGGTAACTTGGGTAGATTTGATTGTCGTATTGAATTGGCCCCCACCCATACAGGTGGGATCCCACCAGAACATCACAGAAGAAAGCTTCTCCCTCTTCTGGTTGCTGGAGCCCAGGATAGGTATGAAGGGTAGGGGAAGACTGAGGTGCTCTAAGCCTGGAAAGGATACCCGATCCTCTCAACAGACCTGATTGTAAAATAGCCATCTCTCACTTCCCTAGAGATTGTTGTGGTGGGCACTGGAAACAGGACTGAGCGGCTACACTCTAAGGTGCTGCAAGCCATTAGGCAGCGGGGCATCGCTCTGGAAGTGCAAGACACAGTAAGTCTTGTAAATGCTGTGGGAGCTCAGGCCTAACCCCAAGGAAACTAACGACTTATCTTTGCAGCCCAGTGCCTGTGCCACCTTCAACTTCCTGTGTCATGAAGGCCGAATGACAGGAGCTGTTCTCATCCCCCCACCTGGAGAGACTTCACTCACATATATGAGCCAAGATGCAGAATGAACAGGAAGTGATCAGCTGTTCAGGAGGGACACTTTATAAAGTGCAGATGTTCCCATTGTTTTCACTGTCCTCTCCATTGACACTAAACACTTTTCATGCTTGACAGGAATATAATTTATACAATTCTCCCATTTTGTATCAGGTGTGTTGCTGGCCAGGGGTTGCTGGGTCAGTGGGCCACTGATGGAGGTGAGGAGAAAGCAAAGGGTCACTATTTTATCTAGACTATTCCTTCACTTCAGAGGCCAGGAGGCAGATGTTTTGTTTCAGATCTTATGGACATTTATATGAGTTTCTCCAGGATCCTTTTAAAGATTCATATTAGGGAGTACACATCCAAGTCTTGAACTAGTCCCATGCAGCCAAGCTTTAGGCTAGCAGGAGGCTTTGTATACACCCGTTCCAGACTATAATGTGACACCCCCAACTCCCTCAAGAGCAGAGTTAAAGATTCTCAGTGTGAAATAAACCCTAAGAAGCCAGAACTGATTTGAGAACATCCCCCTATGGAATATATGTATTTTTTAAAGTCAGATATACACAATATATTTGTTTTTAGGAACCCAGTGCCTCACATGTGCAAGGCAAGTGCTCTACCACTGAGTTACAACCTTAGCCCCCAGGAAGAAGTTTTTAAACTGGAACTACCCTCTTAGAAGGATCATGGAGCACTTTTATCCATGGAACAAAATGAGGTTGCTATTTGTATCTGCAGATCCCCCATGTGCCTGGTGACCCCAAAGATCAGGCATCACTCTTTTTCAAACTTTTATTGAAAAACTGAGGAGGCACGCTGGATCCCTTTTCAGAAAAGCCGCTTCTCATACCTGTAGGCAGAGACCACCTGTGAGTTTAGGGCAGGAGAAAAGAGGTATGAGGCATGGAAGATGCTCTCAGCTAAGGATAGGGGTTACTTACGAATGGAGACTGTGGACGCCACCTTCCACCTGAGCTGAGGATGTTCTCTTCTCAAACTTAAGTTCCCCAGAGTACATCATGGCTCTAAAGAGGGACAGGGATCAGATGTAGGTAGTAGCTGACTCACTAAACAGTCCTCCTGCCCATGTCTCAGGTACCCAAGCTCACCGGACTTGAGTCAAACTCTTGGCACCAATATCCTGGCAGGAGTGCTGGATGCCGGCAATCAAGTAGGGGACAAATTTATGGATGGACCCTTTGTCCTGCACAGCCCCTGATACCCCTTGGGCCACTTTGATTTTGTCGGCTTCACTATAGGAAGAGGTAGAGAAATGGGTGAGGTCACAGCAGGGATGAGATTTGTCAGAGTTGGGATAGGGTGATTGGTCTGACTGTCTCACCTGAAATATCGGTTCTGGCTGCTGAGATGCTTGTCCATGGCATCAAGAGAGCCCATACCACGATATTTCTTTAGCCGGATCCCATCCGAGAAGAAGTACTCACCAGGGGCCTCAGTGGTAGCAGCCAGGAGGGAACCCATCATGACTGTGGACATATGTGGAGTGCTCAGGGCAGAATCTGGTGAGAAGGGGTCCCACCAAGCTCTAGGGGCACTGAGCCTCACCTGTGGAGGCCCCAAGGGCCAAGGCTTTGGCAATATGGCCCACATTCTGGATTCCTCCATCAGCAATGACAGGAACACCAAAGCGGCGTGCATATTCAGAAACCTTGTACACAGCTGTTGCTTGGGGCCGCCCACAGGCCAACACTGTTGAGGAACAGATGGGTGGGTGGGGGTTAGTGGGAACAAGCAAGAGGCCACACTTAGCACCCAGGAGCTTAGCTACATCTGTACCAGGATGGCAACTGGGATGGCTGCTGTCCCATCTGCCTTTAACAGTTCAATTAGTTGTGCTGGTCTCATCCCTGCATGTGTGCGTGCGTGGGTGCAGGGTTCAGGGCAGCCTCAGGCACATGCAGTCTTAGCAGCCGGGAAAGCCCTGCCCAGCTGGTAGCAGATGGGGCAGGAGTCACCGTGCAGTTAGTACCCAGAGGCACCATGTCAACCCCAGACTTTCTGAATACTGGGCACCTGGGGCAAGATCAGGTAATGTGAGAGCAGGCTACAGGGCTGATCCTTGAACTACTACTACAGAAGATGTGGACAAAGCATAGCCCGCCTAGGGAAGCAGGTCCTGCTGTGTAAGCACCCAGGAAGAAAAAGGAGCTGTGATCTCAAGCAGCCCCCAAACCATGGTCTGTACATCTGTTTGCCCTGCCCACCCATTAGCACCACAAACTCCGGGAGCTACAGCTACAATCAACCAAGCAGCCGGGCAGTGGGCAGCTGGGCCGGCCAGTGGGCCGGGCCGGACTTACTATAGCAGCCCGTGACAGTAGAAGGGCATTTGGGGCTGTGGGACTTTATGTCTGGAGGGATCTTGGGAGCCGCTAAATAAAACAAACAGACCAGAGTTTAGAGAGGGTGCAGAGCAGGAGCAAGGAGGCCAGGCTAGGCAGGGAAGTGGCAGGTAAGGGATGACAAGAATTCGTCTTGCTTCCAGCCATGTCACCCATCCAAGAGGCCTATTTGGCCTCAGAGTTGCCTCTATTAGAGGACTCATTGTAGTTCCCATTAAGAGTGCCCGATCCCAGGGCATGTGAGACCCATTGCCAAGGTCTCTGGGCCGTGCCAAAGAATATCCTTACCTTCCTGGGTGATGCAGATAGAGCCACTTCCCATGCCCACCCGCAGGGCATCCACACCTGCATCAATGAGGTTCTTGGCCTGAGCTGCAGTGACAACTACAGTAAAGGAGAGGGAAAGGCTCATATGAAGGTCCAGATGACAGCCCAGCTCTCTATCCCACTCCACATTTGTCAGTGCCCGGTCTTGGCTTACCATTGCCTCCAATGACTTGGAGATTGGTATATTTCTCTTTGATATACTTGATCATATTGATCTGGAAGATGGAATTTCCCTGGGAAGAGTCCTGAGACAAGAAGGAAGTCCCGCGTAAAGACTGTGATGTGGCGTTAGTCCTGTCCCATCCTGTTTATGTATTAGCTTACCAAAACCACTACGTCCACACCAGCTTGGGCTAGCAAGTCCAGTCTATACTTGTCATCCTCATGAGTACCAATGGCTGCCCCACACAGTAGCTGCTTCTTGGCATCTTTGGAGGCTAGTGGGTAATCCCGGTTCTTCTTCAAGTCTGTCCGGGCAATGATGGCTACCAGCTCATCATCTTCATTCACAATGGGTAACTTTCCTGAAGTCAGGGTAAGACACAAATCAGGTACCTGAGCATCAATTCTGTCTATGCCCCTTCCCACCTCTGGGACTCACCCTTCTTGCTGCGCTGTAGAATTTCATTTGCTTCCTTCAATGTGATACCTGCAGGAGCTACCACCAAGTCTTCTCGCTTAGTCATGATCTGAAGGGAAGAAGTGATGAGGAGAGGCCAGACCTCTCAGACCCTGCCCTAACTATAAGAGGAGGCTCCAAAGACCACCATTCACATACCTAATCCCAAACTATACTTCCTTAAGGGAACTTGGTAGTTCCTACACCAGCATAGTATACTAATACTGAGTAGGAAGGACTACACTGTATAGAGAGCAGCCTCTTACACTGTAGAAAATTGCACAGGAGTAATGAAGAGGACCAGAAGAAAAAGGCTGATTGATGGTCCTTGAGCACTGCACTCAACTTGGGGGTGTCAAAGAGCAAAGCATGAATGCTAACAGGAATTTTGGAAGTTTGAGACCCTGGTAGAGGGGAAGATGAAATGCAAGAACCTCATGAAGCAGTCAGAAATGTGGCTAGGTATTCAGTTTCCTAAACAGAAGAGAAATGTTATATGGGCAACAGGCCAGCTTTCTTTAGTGTAGGCTGCCAGAGTTTAGCTGTGCTCTGCTGGTGACACTTACTTCTTCCAAAAACAGGTCATGCTCCTCCTCCTTGAGAAAATCAATGTCCCTTGAGGAGATGATGCCCACCAAGCGACTCCCCATCCGCCCTGTATCCGTAATGGGTATACCGCAAAAGCCATGCCGAGCCTTGGCCTCAAAAACATCCCGGACGCGATCCTTGGGGCTGAGGACCACAGGGTCTGTGATGAATCCCTGCTCATATTTCTGGAGGGAATGGTAAGAAAAGGCATTGTATCTGATCACTTTTTATCAAACTGTTGGTTTAGGCACAGAGTCTATGCCTAAACTACCCTTTTGGTAGTGCTATAGGATCAAGTCAAATCAATCCCTCTAACAAGAAACATGGGTGGGCTGGAGACACTGTGCACCTGGTGCTCTTCTGATGGCTTAAGAAACTGGATATCAAGCCCTTCTCCTCAGTAATTGAACCCCACAATAGGAAGAAAGGATCCTAATTTAGTAGAACAAACCTCCTACTCCCACCCCATTGCACCTCAGTGCAATTCCCAGGAGTTCTTCACCACAGTCCCTGCCCTTCTGACCTTCACTTTCCGAACTTCATTAGCCTGGAATTCAGGTGTACAGTTGTGGTGGATGAAACCAATGCCGCCAGTAAGCTTCAGGATAAACAGAGAGACACTATTGCATGTTTCTTAGGGAGATGGTGTCCCTGCCTTCTCCCATAACCCCATGAGGCTCACCGCCATTGCAATGGCCATCCCAGCCTCTGTAACTGTGTCCATGGGTGAGGAAACCAGTGGGGTCTTCAGAGTGATCTTCTTGGTCAGGGCAGAGGTCAGATCCTGAGGAGACAAAGGACCACTAGTGTGGCCAAGTACCTCTTATACTACAGGGTGGTATCAGATACCCTGCAAAATGGGATCTGACTTGCATGCTGACAATTCCATAGAATCCACCCCAAAACCCAATCTAGTAAGGTAGCCCAGAGACCAGGCAACAGCAGCACTTTTATGTTCAGAACCCAATTCCTGGTCATACTCACCACCTGGTCTGCAGTGAAGTCGATGTACCCAGGGAGAATGAGAAAATCGCTGCAGAGGAGGGGAGTGAATTGGGAGTAGGGCTCTGAGTTATGGTACCATGAGACATCAACTACACACATCAACCCACAAGGAATAAGAGCAAAGAGAGGCACTAACTGAACTGAGGTGTCACAGGCAAAACAGAGCACAGCATGGGGACGGTAAACTGGGGACCTTTTCTGCCACTGAGCTGTCACCCAGTGCTCCTGGAATCCTCACAATTCCACGTGTTCAGAGAATGGGGTCTTCTCAAGCCTGAAATCCTAAGTACTGTCGAGATGGCTCCCCCTAACCCAACCCCGCTTTGAATCTGTCAAAATGAATCCCGGTGACAGGTGGGTAATTTCCGGATCCTGTCCCCCAAGCCCGCACCGAAGAGGGCTCCATTGAAGCCCTCATCCGGCCTCTAAGACCAGAGTGCCTCCCCTCTACTGGCCCAGGTGAAACCCCAAGGCCCGCACTTGTAGGTGAGGCCGTCCCCGCAGTTGAAGAGCTGCTGTGCTGTGAGTCCGTCGTCTGGCACATAGGACGTGCCCCCGCTAATCAGGTAGTCCGCCATGGCCGGCGCGGAACACTACCGCGTGTTGCCGAGAACCGCGCAGCAGAGGCCTCCGCCGTCAGGGCGGCGCCAATATAAACCAGCCGATTCCGTCACTGCGCCGCGCGCATCGCTGACGTCACGGCGCAGAGCGCGCGGGCGGAACTGCAGCGTTCCTGCGGCAGGGGCGGGGCTGATTGGGAGGAACCGGCTCAGGCGAAAAGCATACACCAACCACACCCACGACGGAGTTGGGCTATTTCCTGTCCCACCCCCTCCCACAGGACCTTGGGTAGTTTCAAGAACCGGGAAGGCTTAGCTGCTGCTGTCCTGCCAGGTACCTCCCCAAATAAAGACACATTGTTCACTAGCATATTGAAAAGACGTGCTTGTCATTCTTAATAAACAACTAGAGTAAGAATACATAAGAGAAACAGAGTGGTATCTTTATATGATACACAAGTGTATGTTACAAGAATTCCATCAGGCACAGGAGCCTCAGGTTTAAGGCCTCAATGTTAGGCCAAAAAAAAAAAAGGCATGGTAAAGTTTTTACTTTAACATCTAAAATGTCACTTGTCATAAAGGAGGTTGTAAATAGAAATTGTCTTTAATAAATCATAATTGAAGTTCCCCTCATTTTTCTTCCATTAAGATGCTAAGTTTATGTCAACATGAAGAGAAGGTGGCTCCTCTAGTGAAATCTGCCAGTCCACAGTGAAAGCCAGCTGGGGAGATTCCCTGGAGGGTCGATCCATCATTAATTCCATCTTTCTTGAAGAAGGGACTGGGTGGGGGGGTGGGGAGGCCACATTTCTCCCAACAGTCCAAGCCCTTCCCCCAGGGCCCAGACTTAAAAAAAAAAAAAAAAAAGCCAGTAACTTTCTAGGACACCTGGCTCTCAGTAAACCTAGAGCCCCCATGGACCAAGGAGTTTGCCACAGGTCTATGAAGATGGAAAGAGGGCAAAGTTTTCTTTTACATTTTAAACAAAAGTAGCCTGGAAGGCTTCATAACTACCCAAGATAAAAGAAAAAAGAAAAAATGGAGGCCTCTTCTTTAGTGTGCAAGTCTGTCCAGTTTTTCCTGGCTGGGTTTTCTTGTAGTATGACTGAGGCATCTCAGTGGATGGTGCTTGCGTTGGCCACTGCAATGGCCTCCTGAATTTCTCGTATCACCAGGATCCGGGTCAGCATTTGTCCCATCTGCTCTCTGCTGATAGGCTGGACTGAATACCAGATTGGGCTGTTGGGGGCCACCACTGGCTCAGGTGTTAGGTAAAAGGTGTCGTTCCGGCCTTTTACACTCTGGGGGCTAAAGAACATGTCAGTAAAAGCTAAGTAAACACCATTACAACTTTAACCCTCCCAGCCTGAACTTCCCAGACAGAGGCAATCAGAAAAAGTTGGTAAGGCAGCAGAGCTCTGGATGTTTAATAGGTAGCACAGTTACTGAATATAGCTATCATATACCACCTCCAGGACTTCTAGTGAGGGCTACTATGAATGCCAGTGACAGGTTGTCTCCTTTATGACCCACCTTTACAAAAGCCCCCAGCCATGATCAATCACAGATGTACTGAGTCCATCTATTTTCCACTTGGAGCCAACTTCACTGCTCAGATAATCTATCTCCAAGTGTTGGCTCACACTGTTATGTATCCATATTTTTTCCAGGGGAAAGGGGTACAAGGGAGTGGTTTTACTGGGGATTGAACCCAGAGGTGCTTTACAACTGAACCACATCCCCAGCCATAAAAATTTTATTTTGAAACAGGACTTTTTTCAAAGTTGCTGGGATTATAGATAAGTGCCATCACACATGGCTCACATTGTTATCTACAAAGTAACAGTAGTCATGATGCTGGGGCTCTTACCTTGCTCACCCACTCTGTGGTACTACATTCATACATATTCAGCACACACCATCCTCTAACATTTATTCATCCATTCAAGGTTTACTAAAAGGCTACTGTGTGCCAGGTATGCAAAAGATGCAATGTTAAAGAAATAAGTAGAGGGGCTGTGGATGTGGCTCAAGCGGTAGCGCGCTCGCCTGGCATGCGTGGGGCGCTGGGTTCGATCCTCAGCACTACATAAAAATAAAATAAAGATGTTGTGTCCAACGAAAACTAAAAAATAAATATTAAAAAATTATCTCTCTCTCTCTCTTAAAAAAAAAAGAAGAAAGAAAAAAAGAAATGAGTAAAGATAGTAATTCCTACCTCATGGAGGTTATAGATAAGGAGGGCAACAACAATTAAAAAATTACACAAATACACAAAAAATGGTACCAGTAGTTAAGTGCTACAGAGAAAACAGATGGAACAGGTAGGGAATTTGGAAATTGTTCCTTGAAAAAGCTATGTTTAAGAATGGAAAAGAGGGACTGGGTTGTGGCTCAGTGCCTAGTACATGTGAGGGACTGGGTTCCATCCTCAGCATTACAAAAAAATAAATACAGGGGCTGGGATTGTGGCTCAGTTGTAGAGCACTCGCCTAGCACATGCAAGGCCCTGGGTTCATCCTCAGCACCACATAAAAATAAATAAATAAAATAAACGTATCGTGTCCAACTACAATCAAAAAATAAATATTAAATAAATAAATAAATAAATAGGGCTGGGGTTGTAGCTCAGTAGTAGAGGGCTTGCCTACCATGTGTGAGGCACTGGGTTCGATTCTCACACCATATATAAATAAATAAATATCCACCGAAAACTAAAAGAAAAAAAATATTAAAAAACAGAAAATATAGCATAATTCCCGAGTGGAAAGGCATTAGTGTAGATTGAGAGCTCAGAGTAGTATCAACATAAGGCTAACAAAGGGGGAGTCCTTGTCCACTATTAAGGATTACTCTGTAACGTAATGACAAAACACTGAAGGTTTTAATCTAAGTGAGATACTAAGATCCAAAACAAACAAACAGGAAGAAAAAATAAAAGCTAAAGGAAGGAGTCTCCCCAAAGTTGACAGTGACAATGATAAAAGGCCAGGGCCAGGATGATGCAGGACCTTATTTAGTTTGTGATGAAGGTGGCCTCTCTGTAACATATCTTCTCCATAAAAGATGGCTGAGGCAGGAGGAACAGCCTCAACAACTCAGCAAGACCCTGTCTCCAAATAAAATATTAAAAAGGGCTGGGGATGTGGCTCAGTGGTTAAGCACCCCCAGGTTCAAACCTCAGTACCAAGAAAAAAAGACTGTTAGGGTTCAGGAACCCTTTTTATATCAATGTCAAGCATACCACTTTGGGAAAGCCACATAGTTGTTTCTTTATTTAGATTTTTGGAAATGATTTTCCTCTGGGGCTAGAGAATGCCTCTTTCCTTTGATAACATATGCATATAAGTAAGCATGCGGACAAACACACACACACATACATTAGCCAATTTATAAAGCCTCCTCACCATTTGAAGAGGTAGAAATCGTAGAGCTTGATGGGACACCTCAGTGGATTCTCTGGATTTTCTGTCTGTTCTGCATACATGTCATCTGTAACTATAAAACACCCCCCCCCCGCCGCCACCACCACCATCACAGACCTGGCATAAGGACTGTCTTAGCTCAGGCCTAGATTAGGAACCACAGGTATTCAGCCATCCTATCTAGGAAATATTAGGTAGGAAGAGGAAAGGAATGAGGCATGAAATAACTAGGAAGGGAACAGGCTATCTTGTCCAGAGCTTCCCTGCTTCTAGGAGAAAAGTTTTTGGCTGGGGAAAAAGGAATGGAAAATTCCTACCCAGTAAAACCCCCCTCCACATTTATTACTAGCCTGGTAGATACAGGGTAAGGTGCCACCTTTCCCTACCTTTCTGGCCAGTCTGATGTATCCCAAGGGCCTTCAGGTACCGGATACTCGTGCTTTTATCCTTGGGATTAGAGGGGTTCTTCTTTGTCTGTCGTAAGACTTTGGAGAAGGCCAGCTTCATGTGCTGGTCAACTGTCTTCAACAGGAAGTACCTGAACCACAAGTGAAAGCAAGGCAGAGAGTGCCAGACACCATGATTTACCCTACACCCATCTGTATTTCAGAGGAGCCCACACTCCCAGATCTGGGTAGGCCCATACCCAAACACTGTGGACAGTGGAGAAGCCACATTGAAATAGATAGTAGAGTTCTGACAAGGCTGTTAGATTCACTGGTCACCACAAAAAAATGTAGTCAAGTGGGGCTGGAGGCTTTCAGTAGCTCAAGGTTCTCATAAATGTCACAGGAATTCAGAAGTCCTCCTAAAGTTCCCACCCACTTCACCAGGAAGAAGCCAGCAGAGGCCAAGTATGGACATTCTAGAAAACTTACTTGGTGTTAAAGAACATGAGGGTGGTCAATAGGGTGGAAGGGGAGTGCGCCCCAAGCTGCTTGCATTCCCATAGCATCTCCTCAGTCACATGGCTGGGCAGAACATAGCCTAGGAAGAACAGAATAATGCTAAAACAAATAGATGGAAGGAGGTACCACAAAGGCACAGGATGGGAGGTGTGAGGCATATGGACCACAGGGACATAAGTCTTAACAACAGAAGTCTCCCTGGGGTATTGCAAAATAATTTGGAAAGGTTGTTAAAACATAGAGGGTCACAACTTATGTTTCTGAGGTGGAACCCAAAATGAACATTTATTTCTAACAAGTTCCAAGATGATACTGCTGCTGCTCTGGGAATCACATTGAGAACCACTACCTCACATGATTACTGTTACTTGACAAATTCCTCTGTAATCCAAGGCTAATATAAGACAAAAGGATTGCCTTCAGGTTCATGAATACATAAAAACTATAAACCAAACATGCATACATGCTCTCTCTTCTCGAAGACAACTTACATTGTATTTTCAAGGTGTCTAAGGCCCAAAGACCTGGTAATGTATACCCCTCTTATCATTTCTAGGAAGAAAGCCCATTTCATCACTTCTCTGGATAAAAAGAACATTGATATTTGAGCAATTTCAAGTTTTCATTAAAAGGATAGGTGTAACTCTTAAGACCCAGGTTCACTGACAAATCTAGAGCTAGGCAGGGCTAAGGCCAATTTAGATATGTGGTGTCCCCCAAAAGCTCATGTGTGAGACAATGTAAGAAAATTTAGAATG